ACCACCGGTCACGTGACGTCGCCTCCGCGCCGCGCTCACCACCGTCACCAATATGGCTGCCGCCTGCCATTCCGCTACAATTTGTCGTCAGTTCGGCTGAACTCCTGTTGTGAATTTGTAATTCAGATGTTATTTTTTATTTGGCAGATTTGACAGATTATTGTTTAGCGGTGCCCATCTGCATTGCTTACTTAATATCCGCATACATTATTACGCTTGGAGTAATTTGCGTCCCTAGTTTATTAAAGTCCAATAGTTTGACTTCTCATTTAATTTACTGATTTCGGTTTTTATATGATAATTTGGATCATAAAAGAAAATTTACTTAACCGTGGTCGGATAAACGATATTCCCATGAGATATACATGCTGCAATATTAACACGTCCACTAAAGCGGGTTCAGTTGATAGTTTATCTGCGTTGATGAATTCATAAGTGCATTTGTAATTTATTCCGAGATTTAGTGCCTATTATGAAGTCCTGAAGACACCTTAAGAATAACATTTCCTTTATTTGATAGAACTAAACACATGATTCCATTCGGGTGTCGGTGATATTGTTGCCTGGTCACTGGAGCATCACACGCAATTTGTGTGGTGGTAGCATTAGTAAGGCCTATTTAACCTTGCGGTCCTTGACTAATTACGATCTCTTCGGTGTTTTTTTCTTTTGTAAAGGACTATGGAGATGGAGGAGGTGCTTGCTCGACATCGCAAAGAGAAGAAAGAGCTTCAAGGTAATTGAGAATGCGTTTTATTTACGTTCTTAATTAAGCTAAAATCCAGAACCTCAAAAAAAGTGTTCCAAAGGGTGACCGCAGTCGTCGTAATGTGGTGCAACAGCAAATCGATGAACTCCAAAGACAATTATCCGAGCGCCAGTGTGGCGAGTTAATGCAGTTGAATCATTCGCTTGATTCAATGAGCCTATCGACTGTGGGTAGGCTTTCCATCTCTAGCTCGCCTATATGTCATTCTAGATGCCGCTTTAACCAACAACAATGTGGGCCCTCCGAAAATGAGTAAGGCTGCGAAGCGCCGGGAAAAGGCTGCGGCTAAAGCGCGGTGTCTGACAGCTGCTGTGGAACAGGACATTGCTAAGCACGCCTCTTCTGCCACCGCTATTGAATACTCAAAGCTTGAGGCGGAGTTGGCTAAACGGGGACTAACATTGTACTCTGTAATATTCTATCTCTTTAACCTTCATTTATCGTTTTTAATTACACGGCTTTCATGCTCATGATTTGCGTATGCTAGTCGCTAAGTTTCCTTACTTGTTTAGTTTTTCTTTTAGTGTTCTATTCCCATGTCGAATATAGACCTACTCTCCTGCAAATATCACTTGAACCACCAATGAATTCATTCCCTAAAGTAATTGTGCTTAAAATGGATGGAAAATGCACCAGAGTAATTTGTATGACTAGAATGGGAACAATCGTTTTAACGTAACTGAGACTGGTTGGAGTTTTGGAACTCGCTGGTTAGCGAGGAATCTTGTTAAGGTATTTTGTTTTTGGCTTATATTAGTGTGATACAAACTATAGGTGGTTTGTTATCATAAATTGTTTCCTCGTAATCTCGAGTGCATGAGGGTTATGGCCAGTCGCGTCAACAACTTGCTGCATTAACTCGAGATTTATTCAAAATAGATTCCTTCAGATGGCGACTGCCTGTTCGCCTCTATAGCACATCAGCTGGAGCTGAGAGGATTGGACGTCTGTTTACAGGAGGCATGCAAAAAACTCGGACTGCCGTGCCCTACAATCGGAGACGTTAAATCGACCATTCGGTGCCTTCGACAAGTCGCTTCGGCGTTTATTCGAAACCACAGTGAAGACTTCTTACCCTTCATCTGTCTGGAGGGTCCTGGTTAGTGTTTTTCAAATACGCCTTAGAGGCGCCCGCCACCAAGGTGAAGTCGTTGCCCGACATCACACTGACTGTGTCGACCATGACAGAGCTCCCAGATGTTCGAACTTATCGCGGCTATTTACAACTTGAAAACCACGGTGGTTGAGTTTACTAGTGCACGACCACTCTACCTTTACGTAATTGGCTACGTGTTTGTCGAACCTGAATCACGGGGCATTAATGTGCGCTGGAATTATGTGGCCACATCCGAAAGTAACTGTTACTTAATAGAAATCTGGACTACTTTCGTATGCTACTAAAGACATGAAGTCGTGGTAGGGAAGTATCGTTGCATGGTTTTTGAGCGCGTGTTTGGAAAATGACAAGGCTCCTCCTCCTCCCTACAGAAACGATCGAGCTCTACTGCAAGAAACTCGAAACTCCCGGAACCTGGGGCGGTCAACTGGAGGTAGGCACCTAATTCTTACCATGTCGAAGTTTTAGATCAAGGCGATTTCCATGGCCATCGAAACTCCCATCGAGGTTCTGCAGGCTGAGGGGCCCTCAGTAAAGGCGGGTGATGAGTTTCCTGCGTCACCGCTGGTCATCACGTGAGTCATCTCCTTCACTTGTAAATGTTCGCTAGCCATGAAGGGTGTTATGCCGTTTACTTCTTACACGTAGATATCACCACTATGCATTCTCCACTGGCAATCACTACAACTCCTGTCGGCCGTTCGAAGCATGACCATAACCTGGCCGTCCGGCTGCTGTGGGCGTGAGGACGCATGAACCGCTCCACAGCTGATTTTTTACCTCATTGAGCGATCTTTTTCACAAATAAAGCACGAAAGAAAAAAAATTATTGCTGAGTTGCTTCGTAATAAATAGCGCAGCTTCCTGGCTGTCGTGGTCAGTCTAGTCCGAGAAACCTGGGACGCAACTAGAATGTGGTGTTTTATGTGCGAAAAATGGAACCTCAGTCCGGCAAAAGATAACCAGGGTCGAGCATTCGTTTTCATGCTGTAGGTCCTCTGGCTGAAATGTTACTTTTTACTCTGTAGTAACATGTTTGGCATCGTTTCGGAGTTTGCTTTTCGGTGGAGTAACAGAACCCCCATGGGGGACGTGTAGTAACCCACTTTGTTCACTCCCGCATAGACAGGAAACACTATTGAGCTGTACTTGGCGCAACAGTTCTCTTAAGGTCAGAGAAATAAACACAGAGACAAAAGGTCCATAGGTTTTACTGCTTCCCAGGATGACTTTTCGCGCACAATCTTAGACGAGTGAATCCGATAAATTTGCGCAGGAGGCGATATCTGCACCAAATTGAATTGGCACGCGGAATGACGTGGCGCTTTGGCTGGACTTGTCTGCAAGTGACAGTTAGGAGAGTATTTCCTCAACCAAGCCGGTGACGTTCTCCCACTTGACGACTTGGTCAGCCTGGCGCCAGAGGAAGCAGAGGCGTTGGGGGGCGCCGAAGTCACCACGGGTGGAGCATGTAAATACATAACGAGCGAGGCAGCGAAGTAGACCTCCGCGGAAGGCTAGGTCAGCCCGTAAACGGTTGAGGAGGGCTTGGCACTCGCTGAGGAGGGCTTGCCACGAGAGCAGCTCGATCGGGAAGTGCTCTGCTCCGTCGCCGCTGTCTCCTCTCGGGGATGGCAAGGAGGAGCTACGGCAACCCAAATTTCGCAAGGCAGTGAGGCGATGGATCTTTGGAGCAGAAAGCAAAAACAATGGGTCATTCAGCTGCACTGTTTCCGCTCTAGCTTGTCGGTTGTGAACAGAACGGCCGGGAGAAACCGATGGAAATTGATTCAGTGCTATTTGCCATCGTTATTACCAAAATATTAGGTAAACAGGTATGACGATTACCACTCCTTTGTAATAGCAGATAGTCAGGTTGTCAGTCTCAGGAACAGGAAGTTGGCGAGTGCGCATACAATTGAGTTGAAAGCTTAAACAATAAGAAGCTACTTTAAGTTATAATTAAAACCAAAGAATAGCCAAGCTCGCCGAGGTCTGCAACTACGACCAGATTATGTGGCTTAGGAGTAGGGTAAGACAAAGAGCAGACAGACACTCGGGTGCAGGCGCCTTAAACTTACTGCCTTCTCCACCGACTTAACGTGGTCACAAAGCTGCCGTAAGTGTCCCTCAAGGCAATCAAAATCACCCTCTATCCGCTCAGCGGATGCGAGGTGCGCGGCTTCATCGGCGTCACCAGCGAGAAATAGTGTGGATGCCGGAGCGCTTTCCGGAACCTATGAAAAAATATAGTACACTTGATGCGGCTTAATGACGGTGGCAAAAGTAAAAGGGACTAACAGCAAGTGGTCCGAGGTGATGGGTCGCAGTTTTGTGCTAGTTGTCAGCAAGGCAATACCGGAATAAACATAGCACGTGTTTTTTAAGAAAATATATTTCGCCTGGTAAATTTATACAAATGGCGAAAGTGAGAACTGTTGGTTTCTTATGCCAGCCCCTAACCTCCTACGAAAGACAGAGAAATTTAACTGAACTAAAGAATCGCTTAGGGCTTTAATAGGAGAGAACGCCAAAGCGATCGAATAGCCTGCATTGCAGAGACGTGGCAACACAGAAATTGTAGTCCTTCATAACGAAACAGCAAACGCAAAAAGAGTTCTACGCGGTTTACTTCTGGAGAAGTTGCATGTTGATACTTTAAAAAAGCACGGCTCATTATGCATTTAATTTTGACGGCATGTTGCCTCTCAGTGGAATATTGAGCTCTGAAGAAATGATTCGGACCTTTAAATGACATTTCAGCCAACTTGTGTGTGTGTGTGTGTGTGCGGGTTTTTCAACATTTTAGTGGACTTATTCAAACGACCGCATTGGGTTTGGTCTCGAGCGGACAACGAGCCGAAACGGATGGGTGAAGAATTAAGAGATGCAATGCTAGTATGCAATAACAGATCTGGACATATCAATTTAAGTCCCTAGTTGTGATGTCATTCTTTAAACAAAAAGCACAGAATAACACAAAATTCGAAAACAGTGTTTTTGAAAGAACACAACATTGGATCAGGAAAATAACGTACCAATTTAAAAGACCGCAATGTTTGGCTTGGTTTTTCGGCCTCCGAGAGCCTAAGCTCACGCACTAAATTGTAAGCGAGAGACGTGAATATTTCTCCCGACTTGATCACTGTACCTTGCCACTTTACCTGTGTGCTAAGTATAACTTGGAACTGTTTTTCAAGGCCATCTCTGACCACATCGAGCGTCATGCTTCAAAAACACCTAAAATTAAGGAGACGCGAACCACTCATCGGTGATCGTTGAATGACAACGCACAAACCTGTTAGAACATTGGAAAAATCGATGCTCATAATCAAAATAAACAAAGATGACTATGTAACCAAAACAAAAAAATATGTGCGAAGGTGAAACTTCAAAAAGTCCCTATATCCATAGAGATTTTTATTTCGAAAAATAGTGTGGTGTAGTGTGGTGTG